CTCATAATAAGAGTGATACTAAGCCGTGAAAAGCGTGTGTGCGTTTTCCCGCATCGCCTATTCTGTTTAATATGAGAAAATACTTCCTTTCCTACGGCCCACTGCCACGCCCCCTTTTGGTCACGTGGTTGCAACCCAGCAATGTGTACACTATTCACTTTTTGGAGAAACAGAATTGTTAACTGCTTTTTTTAAATTCCGTTTTGAACTTCAAATGTTTAGCATGATGATTATATTGCATTATTCTAACCAAAAATATTGTATCCTACCTGTAGTAAACTAATAATGAATGAGTAATAAAGGAAATTAGATTCTATTGAAGTGACAACATCACAGTCTTTGCACCTTCTAACTCATTCTATTCTCAAGGATAAGTAAACATCAAGCTTTGTAGTTACAACTCTATGTAATCTTTATGTATATAGCGCATTTCCAGGACCAAGGTCACACAAAGCGTTTTCCAATGTTTTAAATGATGTCACACCTTTATACAAGACTAAGTGCTATTACTGTTCTGCCAAAAGACACATTTACATCTCGCAAACTAATGTGCAAAAGCAATAAATGCACTCAGTCCATTTTACATTAGAGAAATCAGTTTATAGAAACACAGTGGTTATCATACATTTAGTCTCATAATCCAGAGCATATTCTATGGAAGCATGGTGTCTGTTTTAATGCAAACAAATTCAACTTTACAAATAGAAATGTTTCGAAAGACAATGCTGGGGTTAGGCAGGGATATGGCAGCGGTAAAAAAAAAAAAAACACAACTTCACCACATCCGTAAGCTGTGTGGCTTTGCTTCCGCCACAATTGGTCACTATTCAAAACAAATCAATAGTAAGCACCCTGGAAATTGGAAGAACTGTGGCAGCTGGGAACTGTTTACTGCAAACAAGTCGTTCCTAGTTAGAAGTTTTTGTGTGTTTCTTTTTCTTGTTAATAAGCAGAATGAGGTAAAGTGCACAGTTTTGCTGAGTAAAAAAAGCATTCGTTTATTGGAGCCGCTCGTCATCACCCAAATGGCACTTTCTGTGAATAAAAGTCGCATATACCCCTGCCGCCTCCCCTCACACGGTTACTATGACTCCTGAACCACTCCGTGTTAGTTCAAAGGCTTAAGACAATGGGATGATGGCCACTCACATACAGTAATAGGCCAGTATGACACTAAATACAGCCCAGGTCTAGGGGACAGGCTGTTGCTATGGACACAGAGATGACAAGAGCACAAACGTCACTGACACGAAAGACGACTGACATTGTAGAAGTTTATCATGAGGTAGCTGCACTGGTTTGGAGAAAAAAAATGAAAATAAAAAATAAAATAAAAACAAGCTATTTAAGATGTTATTTTACTTTTAAGAATGCGATATTCTGGGTTGCGATATTCTGGGTTGTGTATTGAGCCCACAAAAAATCCTTCAATTTCAACCATGCGCTTTATAATCTGGTGCACCTTATATATGAAATTTAAAGGCATAATCTGATAATGCGCCTTATAATCAGGTGCACCTTATAGTCCAAAAAATATGGTAGGTTTGACTGAATATGGAATAGGTTACGGTAAATATAAATGTTAAAATAAATTTAAAAAAGCATTAATTATAGATTTCAATAGCAATGCACATGCACATGTCAAAAATATACAGTCACTTTAAAGATCTATTATAAGCGAGTTATTTTTGAGATTTTTGTTTTTCTTTGCATGTCATATAGATTTTTTTGCGCATTCACTAAAACTCAAATTAAATTGCAAAAATAATTCAACATCTGTGCATGTTATGTAATTTAATGTCTGGTAAATATTTGTTACTATAGCAACCCTGGTCAGTGCACCATCTGTACAGTATTTAAAATCATTGATAAACTTCCACATTGACAAACAGTGTATTTCAAAGCTTATGAATCTACAAACATCGGGTTCTTCAAACATGATTAAAAGTGTTTTTTTCTTTTTTTTAAACATAAGAAATACCACAATTGTATGCATTTAATCACACCTACCTAAATGATCCTAATTGGCTAAAATATGAAAACCATGTCTGTACAAAATTTAACATAAGGAAACATCCCTTTGATATACTGTATAAATCAAAAAAACATATGGGAACATGGGGAAAGGTGGGTTGGATAAATAATAGTGTAATACTTTTTCAGTCAAATAGTAAGAACAGGTGAATTCAATCGGTTAGATAAAACAGCCCTGGACTTTACACCGGACAGTAAAAAACCACTCAGGAGCTGCTTACACAACCAGGCATTCTCCATGTTCATCCAAAAGAGAATCATCACCCTCACAAATGTCTGCGTCTATTTGCGAGAGCACCTTGAGCTTAGATGATGTGTAAAATTGCGTTTTGCAGAAGGTCGGAATAAAAAAAATAAAAAAAACGGGGATCGCAAATGCGTATTATTTGAATGAAGAATCTCTGTCTATCCAGGCCCCAGATTTCTAGCTCACAGAATCCTATTAGGGCTTTTTGTGATTACAGCCGTGCCGTTAAACCAGCAGCCTAAAGCAAAGTTATGGCATGATTAAACAGAGAGTATTATAGTTAAAGGACACTGCGGTGGTGGAGAATATGGGCTCTGAGTGCGCGCGTCCACTTGTATGCAGTGAGAGTGTGACCTGAGCTTGTTTGGCGGAGCATCTGCTTACATTTAGGGCGGAGAGGGGACACAGCCACCCTTGACATGAATATATGAATAATACAAAGTCACTCGCTGACACCGCCTCCTTGGCTCTAACCGTTTCTATTTATTCTGTCTTTCTTTTTTTCTTTCTCGGAAATCTTATATGAGACAGACCTATTTAGGGAAATTATCAAGTTAGTTTTGATCACTAGAATTCATAATGATGGGTTATGTACGTGATCACATAAGAGACGGTAATTGAAAAAAATATACTAATATAGTAAAGTTTTAGAGTCTGCATTCGACCTGTCACCAGTTACCATATTTTCATATAATTGAATAAATAAGTAATTGAAAAAAATATTTGAGGGTTTTTGTATTTGTCAGTGCATTTATTGACTAATGAATTGTGATCTTTAGAATGCAAGTTGAATCAGTAACTTTTATATTGATATTAGGCCAATTTTCACTTTTTTCTGCCATTTGAAAAAAATAAACAGTGGCGGGAAGTAGCCGTATTTTATACTTAGGTACTGTATTTAAGAATTCCCTTTCATTTTCCCTTTGCCATTCATTTTTGTTGACAACTTTGGTTTTATTCTTTACTTCAAAATCTCCCAAATCTCTGTTGCAGATATGTGTTGCAGTTAGCCATGCTTCTAAGTTAATATTTGTTTTGTGATTCAGATAAACGCTCACCAATCACAAAGCCGAACGTGCAAAGTTTTCCACCTTGTATATTACTTTTACTTATACCACAGTTGTATATTAGTGTCGTACTTTTACTTTGGATAGATTCTGAATATTTCATCAATCAAAATACGTCACCTGTCTACAAATGACTCATTCTCATAACACTTGAAAAACAACATGTGGCAAAAAATCGGCCTAATGATTGAACAGACAAAAAAATTGAGATCGTTTGTGTAGCAGACGCGCTAATTATAGCATCACATGTCTGTCCCCAGGAGCCAGGCCTGCGGCGTGAGAATCAATGGCTGTCTACAATGTTGATATTAAAATAAGCAACGCTCCATAAAACGCATCGATTCTGTCAGTAAGTGTGGCGCTTTGAAGTGCTTTTGTTAAGTGTACGTCTTTGAGAGATTTTTTCCCCAATGGTTTTCACGGTTCTAAAATAAGATTTGTTTTTGCGGAAAAACAAATGCAGTATCAGCCCAACAGACGGTTTTGAAAGATGATCAATTGCTTCTTTGTTCAATCAAAATGCCTTAATAGTTTATGGGTTTTTAGGAGGATTTTCATTGTTTTTTTTAAATATTATGTCTCACTTGCATCGAAGAGATTTTCTATTGTTGTAGCTATGAATAAACCCTAATATGCTTTTCCATGATTCGTTTTTGTGGTTTGAAATGATGTTTTTGTACAGTGGTTCATGGAGGTGAAAGGCCATGCGATTATGAGCAGATATAATATTAGTCTAGTGCGGATTAGCCTGCTCTTGGTCTGGAAGGTTCTGCCAAGGACACCATTTACATATTACCAAACTAAAAATATAATACAGAACAGATTACAGTGAGGGCTCTTAAGTCATGTGAGGTCGTTCTTGAGGCTTTGCGGGATATGTAATGAATGCTAAAATTATCCACACGCCGCCCAGAGACTGTGTTAAAAAAGCCTGTGGGAGTTATGGGATGGAAATAGAGAAGGCGTCAGCGGGTTGCCAACACGCATGTTCGATCATTTTTGATTCCCTTCAGAGAGGACAGCTGCCCTCCTGTTTTAAAGAAAGAACGGTACACTCGGTTCTTACGACCGGTCGAGCCGACGATATGGCGCAGTCCATATTGGCGTGAAGAAACTAAGTCAAATAAAAAAATAAATACATTTTAGGAAATTCAACACCCGAGCCCTGCATATATTTTAAACTGGGTTGTTTAACTTTTTACCTTCATAAATAATACAGGTTATTACAGAAAGAGTCCAAAAAAGTCAAAAGTTCTCACCAAAGTTAGGAAATATGTTACTATTCACATACTTTTTCATTTTTCTGTCAGAAAAAACGACGGATGTGACAGAGAATAAAATTAGAAGCATGTGAAAACAAGTGATTATGATTAGCTTTTGTGTGGTTTGAAAGTTACGCGCCCCAGCTTTAATTAAAATTGAAATGACCACATGTTTTCTCAATATATAAACAATAAACCTAAAATCCCTTTGAGAAGCAGCAGTCTGTGTGTCTGTATGTTTCTGTGAGGAATAAGCGGTGAATAAATACACGAAAGGCTTGAAACCGAAACGCCAGTGGAGATTCTTTTTCGGCCCGAACGTTCTGTTTGGTGGAGCGGGTCCACTCGGTTCCTGGTTCCCGGGTTCGGATCTGAATGGAGAGATGAAGGTTACAAGTCTTCCCCTCGCTGCCGGCCTCTTTGGCACTTGTCGAGCGTCCGGTGGAAGGCGCGGGCGATCATCGAGCCTGGTGGTTTGGGTTGTGCCGTGAGCGGGATCTTTCCAGCACTGCACGCCGGTTGTCTGACAAAGAGAAAAAAAAACCACAGATTTAGAAAAGGTAAATATATAAAACACACATGGATAGAAAAACACCTCTATTGTAGTTGTAAAAACATTCAACATATCAGCGTCATATCAGTGGAGATGGCATTTTGACTTCATTTTTGTCTATACTTGTTTGGACTAGTATACAATGCCAGTCCAATACAAGACAAATACAGGTTAAATATATTAAACCTGGCCCTGACCCGACCTGTTGTTCATGTTATTGTTGATTTTCATTGATAGAAAGGTTTTTAATTTACAAGCAGAGTGGATGCTTATAGTGTATACCAGGGGTCTCCAACTCCAACTCGGAAAGCTACTTTTATACAACAGAAGGACGAAGAGAGCTACTCATTTTTTGCAACAATAATATAAATCTATGTAATAATTATGACAAATTAATTATCGCCATAATAAAATTGGCTTCTTTTTTGAAAGGGTTTTGCCCTATACTTTGGAGACTTAATGAATTGGATTAGGCAAAAATAAGTTATATACTTCAGCCTAATCCCTTCGGTCACAATTGCGTTTGTAAATCGATGTTAAAGCATGGACACTACTGATATAAGCTACATTTTTTTGTAACCTTTTGAATTCCTTTTTTACATCAACAAAAAAAACTAAACTAAACAAAACCCTGAAAAACAGACGGAAAAATGACCATAATACTGTATAACCCTATATTTAAACTTATACTAGAGGTCATGATCATTCAAGATCACGTGTTAGATTCTAAATCCTTTGGGGAGCTACCTGAAAGACGCTGGCGAGCTACAGCTACATATTGGAGACCCCTGCTGTGTACTATATGTATTCTGATTTATTTGCACTAGTATACAAAGTACTTGCTACTTGCTTCTTATTATGCCAAAGGTAGAGATTTTATACTTCATTATTGATCTAAAGTCAGATTTGTGAACTCATCATGCTAAAGATGGAGATTGTTTACTTGTTTCTTCTTCATTTAGAGTCATAGTTCAATTATCTTGTGCTGTGTCCTACTCATTCCGACTGCTCCAGAACTGGCGATGCAACACTGAAATTTCCCCACTGGGAGACAAATCTCTTAATCTTAACATTAAACCAATCCGAGTTTTCTGGCTTCTCTACTCATCTGTGCCAATGCTTACTTAACAAAATAATAAACTTAGACAAAATCCACAGCCCTAGCTTTATAAACTATCTATAGGCACACCGAGGTTCATAAAAGAAGCACATATACGCACATATAAAACTATGATGCAAACGGTCATGTCCTTTAATGAGAGTAAACCTCGAGTTAAAATTGTTCCCGGTCAGTACGACTGAGCTGAGGAAAAGAAAAGAGTGAAGATGAGAGAGTGCAGGGAGCGTGGCAGCAGGGAGGCAGCAGAGGTGCTTGTGTCTGCTGTCATAGTAACTCGTAGAGAGAGTGATCCAGGCCTGCACTCGAGAGCTCTCAGTCTATTCTCACATCACACAGAGCAGAGCACCAAATGGAGGCAAATAAACAAGCCACAATGCAACAATAACACTCACTACAAGGTTCTACTGGGAACAAAGACTGGGCCTGAGATGATGAGGTGACGTCGTTGAATCAAGCGTGCTCCATGGTCAGTGTGTGTTCTGCAAAAGTATATTAATGTCAATGTTATGTCTCTCAGCTTAATTCACAGCCGAACCCGTCATTTGAAGAAACAAGCAAAGAAAAACAATGGTATATTTGGTGAATAATATTTGTGTAACTTTAGAGGGCGGATTGCAACCTTGATAGGTTTGGTGGTTTTAACTATTTCTGAGGTCACTATGTAATTTCAACTGGAGATACGCTGATCCAGCCGTGCCATACAGGTCCTGATACTTTGTCTTTCAGTATTTGCCAATATGAACGGATGCCAGAGAAGGGAATGGAAGTAGCTTCAAACTAGATAACATATTCCAAGATGTCTTTTTAAAACGCCTGTTTCCTTCATGTAACAACTGAACAAGAATTGAGCCTGTATTCAGAATATCCGCAGTAAATAGTCTTATTATATCCACATAAAGGTCCAGAAGTCATTGGTGCATTTTGAGCCACACTTTCTGGCATTTTGCAATATTTCATGATACCATAAATCTAAAGTTTCTAAAGTTGGAGCAGTCATCTCTCTGAAGAGAAAGTGTGTTTGTGGTTGCAGCCTGCAGTGACAGCAAGCCATCTCTTGTGGGCTTTGTGCACAGAAAGTTGACTTTGTATTTTATAGTGGGTGGCTCAGTGACAGAGTCCTGCAAACACTATTGTGTGCTTCTGCAGAGTAGCCCAAGACTGGAGCGTGAGGTGGCAGGTGGGGCTGGACAGGAGCTGACTCCAGGCACTCACACACTGGAGCAGATCCACCAGTGTCAGGCGCCCAGTCCGTGACTACAGGCCTGCTGCAGGGCACGCTGATCTGCATCCTGCGCTGGGCACTGCTTAATGGCACCTATTCATCCATCATGTCAGGAAATGAGCAGAGAATGACACAATCCAATAGACGGCCACCACCAGAGCCAGGTGTGTGTGTGTGTGTGTGTGCGTGTGTAAATATGAATGTGTGTGTGTGTGTGAATTTGTGTGTGTGTATGCGTTTGTGTACATCTGGGGGATCTGCAGTTGGACCACAGAGCATCTGCAGATTGTCCTCATGGAGAGAGGTAAAGAAAGAGGAACTTCCAAATCAAATGTTCACATAATACAAAGTCCTCTGGTTTATCACAACTCACAGTGAGCTGTTTGTTTGAGCATTGCTTTGATGTGAGTCAGTAATGCAGCCCCAGTGTGCACTAGATTTGGTTATTGTACTGTTAGCTCAGGCCTTATTCATCTCTCATCAAGTCAATTATAATGCAGGTAGATTCTGATTAATTTAGAAATGAATGGGCTATTTCACAATTGTATCTTATTGCAATTTGGATATTGTTTTGCTAATATTGAGTTATTAAAAGCACTAGTTTCTTACCAATGGGAGCTACTTTAAGTCTCATTGATGAAAGAGCAATGTATCAGTGTACACCGCAGTAAGTGCTGTGCACATTTAGCCTTTAGCTTTTGTATTGATGCGCCCCTCTAGAACCACACTGTTGTCATTCTGTTATGGGACTGCAGATAAAGAGAAAACAAAGCAGTGCTATTAGCGTGCACTTGTTGCAGGTAGATCTATGGCGTCGTAGGAAACCTTTTTTGTGCAATATAAAACTGAAAAGGGTCTTTTGGGGGTAATTGTGTCTTGGATAACTGCCCAGATACATGGTGAAGCTTCCATGAAAGACTAAACAAAAAAGGTAAGAACATCTTGCAGGCAAAATGCATCTCCTTGGATTTCTCATATAGAATTGTTTTTTTTTATCCTGGTGCATAAAAGCTAATTTTTCCCCTTTTCACATAAATCCATCACTACAATTGTACAAACAGGAGCAATTTCTACAGGGACATTTCTACCAGGCTTAAATCAGAAAAATTTCCAGCACACACAAGAACAGACAGAAACAAATTGAGGTTGGGTAATCACGTGGTGTGAAGAGTGGAACAGACAAACTACACGGGGTGAGGTTTTCTGGGGGCGCTGATTGCGGCGCTCTCAATTGCTATTGGCTTTGATGACTTTTTTTTTACCTGATTCTCCCCACAGCGACATCTTTTTTTCCCCCCGGTTACAGTACGGTGAAAAGACAAAAGGAAAAAAAAGGCAGCAGGAGTCAGGCGATGTGACGATGGGGGAGCAGAGAGAATATGTGGGATTAAACACCATGTAATTAAATGAGCGACAGATTTGTGCTGTTTTGAAAGAGCACAGGTGAAGATGAACGCGTCAAAGCCATTGGGGATACACTTTTGACTTCCAGTTTAAGGAAAGAAAGGAGAGAAAGAACAATGTCTGCGCACACTTTATTATTTGATTTTTATGCGGGTATTGATCTACATGGGAAACTTTATAACACAGTAGTTCAAGGTTCAACGAAAGCAATATTATACTAAAAGCACATGAGGAGTGGAGCGGAATACCATTAATCCCTAATTCACACATACAGTACAAACCAGACATTTCTCTACAATGTCAAAAAACAGACAATTATTTTTTTTTTTTTTCTTCACTGTCTGAAGTTTAAGATCTGATTTTGTATAAAAGTAATATTCGGATTCCGAAAAATTACCTCTCAATATTGTGGCATTGAGCTGAGAAAGTGATGCCCTCAGCAAGAGAGAGAAGTGTAAGGTGTGTGTGTGTGTGTGTGTTGAATGAGGGTTGGAGCAAAATAAGCGTCTCCTTTGTCAAGCCCCTGTTCTATTCTTTCAATTCTGTATCCTGTTTTTGTTGAATATTGTAAATAAATATATTTGATAATGATGGAAAAGTATATTTTTTTCTGTAAGATAATTGACCTAATTCATTATACAGTATGTCCTTTTACATATGTCAAGATTGAGTTTCCACTGTATCTGTCACTAATAATAAATTCTGATACCTCTTCACCTTCACAGGTCCGCCTGAAATATGTCTATACAGTATACATTCTACCTATAACAGATGAAATATTGACAGTGTGTTTACTTTATTGATCATCCAATTCACAGCACTCTTTAGCTGCTTGAAAACTGGCAGTCCTCATTGTAGTTTTTAGGCCACATTTTGGGCCAACATGTCTGAAAGAAGCTGAATCTCTTCTGTCAAGCAATCCTCTCTGGGCCCTCTACGTCTAATGGCACTACAACATTCATCAAGGCAACAATAACAAGGTCAGGCTGGAATAATCAACAATCATGTGTGTAAATAGGGAGCAATGAACTGCCAGCAAAACAGTGCAGAGGATCTCTTGGGAAAAAAATGACACTATTCTGACATGCACTGGCCTTTGGTTAATTTTCATTTGGTATTTGGATGAGATAGAGTGTAATGACAGTGATTAAATTTGACCTGTTATAAATAAACATGTATTCCGGTCTGCAAAGTGCACGCCACAAGTCTTCTATCAGTTCTTTTCATCTCCTTTTTTCCCGAAATGTTTTCCTGCCTTCAAGCTATGGAGTAATAGAGCTCCCTACAAGGAAACAAGATACTGGGTATAAATGGGATGCAGGCGCAAAGAAGCTATTTCTCCCCTGCTGGAAGTTATGGGGCGAACCGTGCAAAAAACATTTTCAGGGAACACAGGCTCTCGATTAAGATTAAGAGTAATAGGGTAACAAAAAGCAACCAGGAAACATCCAATTCCTGCACAGCATGAAGGAAGGCCTGCAATGTTGGTTGTATGGTTTTCCAATAACATGAAGGTAAATGATTTTAATGTACGGATGCACTTTTAATAAACAATTATCACGTACAAAATATATTATTATAAGATTAAAGGTATAAAGGAGGATTTTCCCATATTTTAGGAAAGAACCGCCCTTTCTACTTTTTGAACAAAACTCTCTGCTCTTATAGGACAAGGACGTATAAACAGAATGATTGACATTTGGGAGGACCAATAGTGTTGATGATCCACCCGGAAGTAGAAAATCCTCTTGTATACCTTTAAGATGAAGAGATCCTTTGTGTGTCCCATTGTGGGGAAATTTTAGTGTTGCATCACCACTTACAGAACAGTAGGAATGGTTGGACACAGCACAAGATCCATCCATCCATTTTCTTCCCCTTATCCATTTCAGGGTCGGGGGGGGTGGCAGTCAGAGCCACACCCAATTCACATAGCACCAGCCCCTACAGGTGGTGAGTCCACAGGGGATGGCTGTTCTGTCAGTGACAACACAGCCTTGATCTTTCAGTGGGGGCTTCAGGCAAGGTGGGGTTAAGTGCTCAAGGAAAAAAACAACAGCAGATATCAGTGGGAGCCTTGAAGTAGGTCTCATGGTGGGCTCAAACCCACAACCTTAAGGCCCAAAGGCCAATGCTCTACCAACTGGGCCACTGTCGCCCCCACACAAGCGTTGGATTGTTCACCCACTGATAGGGAACGTGAGCTGGGTTTAGACCGTCGTGAGACAGGTTAGTTTTACCCTACTGATGATGTGTTGTTGCAATAGTAATCCTGCTCACAACGCACAAGATAATTGAACAAAAACACTATATTAAATACAATAAAAATCTAGTATGAAGAAGGAACAAGTAAACAATGTCTATCTTTAGCATCATGAGTACAAAACTCTGACTTTAGCATGATAAAGAAGTATAAAATCTCTACCTTTGACAAAATAAGAAACACGTATAAAGTACTGTGTAATCTACTGCAAGTAATAGTAAAACATATATAGAAAATATAAGAAAATTACATACTTTTTGGGTGTGTGAAAATCTAGAGGGAGGGCTCATTAAGGTATTGGCTCTCTCTTGTAAATGCACACCAAACCTTTTTATCATCGCAATTCTGAAACTAGAATACAAATATAGATATGTACTGTATATATGTATATAAAAGTGAAACATTGGATGCTAACATATCATTTTTCGAAGTTATACTTTTATTTGAATAGGTAAAAAAATAAAAGTATAGATCAGGGGTGCCCAAACCTTTTGCTTCCAAGGGCCAAAGTAAAAAATTGCCAGTGGGCCGCGGGCCAAATACACCAATATTATGCATGAAACACAAATAAATGTAGATTTGATCAAGTTCTTTTAAATGCATTAATTATTGTCTATCAGTGCAAATCACAGCTGAATGAATGAAATCAACACAGTCTTAGTGAAGTGGAGGCTCCAGGGAAATATGCAGGTTTGAGGAGACTACAGTACGGAAAGATTCCGGCGGGTAATCAGAGTCCAGAGGAGGGAGATTATCTGTCATGGCTTATTTAAAGGTTAAAATCATATAATAAAACCTCAAAAAGAGAACAGAAACATACATTTTGTGTGCACCATGTGCACTTGTATATTGTAAATAGTAACTGTAACTCTATTTTAAATTTAAATTTATTCCTTAGAAGTGTTTTTTATTCTTTATTTTTATTATCTCTGTTGCACTGAGCCAAAGCAATTTCCAAGTCTATTTTCATATATTTATTTTGAACAAAAGTTTTTAACTACATTTGAATCATATTACTTTATCTTAGCTTTTATCAAAAAAGGGAGACATCACTGATCAATAGATCTGGTTTTAGCACACTTTTAAACAATACATTTTAACATTAAGTAATGAATTTGGGAACATAATTGCTAACTGCATTTTTTAAACATGATCAAGTTTTAACTCTGTTTTAACTTAATATTTTTAACATAGGACAAGTATTCTCAATTAGTAGTGAACTGAATATTAAACTAACAAAATCAGACTAGTTAACCATGATTTGTTCCTGGAGTTTTGTTTTGTTTTGCCTAAACACAGTACAACATTTATAAACAATCAAAACAAAGTAACTGTTAAAGAGTCCGAGTTTCCGCTCCTCCAAAGGGCTCTTGAACGCATCATAAAACTCCGCGTAAGT